AAAAGTGAAAAAAAGTCTACCAGAGAACGACGAATCATGAAGTTTCTGGCGATCTGGGTTTCCATTTTCATTGATTGTCTGTATCGCTTTTTTTACTTTCCCTGGTAATTTATGTTCATGCAATTTAATTTGATGCAAGTTTACGTTTGACAACTTTAAGTTTCTGAACTTTCAATTCCTTGTTATTTTACTTTTATGTAAGTTGAGATTCTGCGTTTAAGTTCTTCGCTATTTACACCTATGCAATTTCGAATTCCTGTTATTTACATTTCTGCAATTTCGAATTCTTGTTATTTACATTTATGCAATTTCGATTTCCTGTTATTTACATTCCCGCAATTTTGATTTCTCGCTATTTACACTTAATGCAAATTTGAGGTTTCCGTTTTTTACATTTCCTTGCAATTTAATATTTTACACTGCTTTTTCGATTCAACACTTCTTTTACTTTGCATTTCTTAAGAAAAACATCAAAAACATGTACTCTAGGTCATGCCATTTTACATTATAAGATTTTCGATTCTCGTGCATTTTTCGATTGAAAACTAGTTGCTAGCCTAAGTAAAAAGAATCTACATGGTTGAGATTTGATTAGAACCTAACTCCCGATAAATCGAAATCAATCAAATTTTCACCAGAAACACATACCATCACCCTTTAAAAGATGAAGAAACATATCTTAGAGGACCATAACAAGAATATGTTACTCAAGATAACATTAAAGCTTTACATAAATATCTTAGTGAAGATAACATTAAAATCCCACATGAAGCTTTTAAAGGAGATAACATTGAAGTGTCACATGTATTTCTAAATAGAAATAATAATGAAGTACCAAATGAACTTCTTAATGAATATGTTCATTAATTATTGAAGTTTCATGTGATCATTTGTTGATTAGAGCATTTTCAATAAGAATTGTTTATTGAAATGCTTAAATAAATTATTAGTTGTTTGAAACAACTTCTTGTTGGAAGAATCCTATATGGCATGATAAGTGCTTAAAAATTTTTTTAGTTGCTTCATCAAGTAGTGAGTTGCTTAAAAATGATGTGACATCATAAATCTTTATTTTATATTTTTCAAGATAGGAAATAAACTCATGTGAGTTGCTCCAATTGAAGATGCCTTTAGAAAACAATTGTCAAATTGTCTCATAAAATATATCCCTAAACTTTTGTATGAATCAAAACTCTCATAAAGTTAAATATCATGAGTTGTTATGGATAGAATCATAGAATGTTATAAATAAATAAATATTTATGAAATCAATTATTTATTATAGTTATCTCTAACAATTTATAACAAGTTTTAACTTATCCAAGATGAAAGACTGTTATGAATGAAAAGATAAACTCACTTCAAAGAGTAATACTTGATTCTTGTTAATCATTAAACCAATATGATGTCAATATATTTATATTATTAAACACAAACAAGATGGTACAATTAGGAATGGCAAAACGGGTCAGCCGCCCGCTTTGGCCTGCCCGCTTTGGCCCGCCAAAAGCGGGCGTGGCGAGCTGGTCCGATATAGTCATGACGGCTGTAGACCTTGGCCGTGCTCGCCAAGGGGCGGGTTGGCGGGCTGACGGGCTAGCCCGCCATAATTTAGAAAAAATAATTTTTTAAAATTTTTTTTTTATAAATTTAATAATAAGATTATTATTTGTTTGTCAATAATTCAATAAATATATATATATATATATATATATATTATTTCAATTTAATAATATAAATCAATACATTATTTTAAGAAATTATAATTTAGAACAATAATAAAATTTATATATATATAAATAACGTTAAACTTATAAAATTTATATTTTTTATATTGAAAAATTCAAATACCTATATCTTTTTTATTTGATAAAACTTCACATTATTCTTGGTTGAGTAATTCTTATACCTTTAATTCAAACAATAAGGATAAATATAATCAATGCTTAGGATAAATAAGGAGAACAGGAGAGAAGGTTATATTTCAGGAAGGAGAATATTTTCTGTGAGAATAAAACTTTTTTAATTCTCTTTTTAAAAATTTTAACTTTATATATTATCTTTATAATTAATTTTATTACAATAAAAAATTAATTTTTTATTAATTAGGCGGGCCGTGGGCTGGTCCGCCCAGTCCCGCGAGTTGGCGGGCGGGCCAAAGCGGGTTGGTGGACTGAAAACACCAACTCGCCCCACTATATTATGGCGGGCTAGGCCCGTTTTGTCATCCCTAGGTACAATAGAACAATAAAAAAACAAAACTAGTGACAAAAAGGATAAATTCAAATATTTAAAATTGATTACATAAAGACATTTGCTAAAATTAACAATGTTTGGGTATTATTGACTTTGACAGCTAATTTGAATTGGCAATTAAACTCATTGGATTTAAAAAATGCACTTCTACATGAGGGATTATCTAACAACGTGTACATAAACTCTCACCAGGTTGCATGATACACAAGTACACAAAAAAAAAAGTATTCAAATTAAAAAAAAAAAAAATATTTGTATGGATTGAAATAATCTTTGGCAAGCATGATTTTAAAGGTTTGCAAAATATATGATAACATTCAAACATCATAAAAACAATTCATACCATACTTTATTTTTAAAGAAATAGGTAAGACAATTGCATTTATTTTATATGTGGATGATATTATCCTTAGTGGAAATGATTTAAAGAAAAAAGTAAAATATTAAAAGAATATATGTCTTAATATTTGTTATAAAAAATAGGTATAACAGTCTGTCAACCAATTGATACATCAATGGAAGAAGATTTAAAGTTATATAATATATATATCAGATCAAATCTCATTTCATAAATAAAGATACCAATAATATGTATGAAAGTTATTTAGCACATACAAAAACAACAAATTTTATTTATGCATTAAATATTATAAGTCAATTTATGCATAAGATGCAGTTATGCATATTTTAAGATATTTTAAATTAGCACCTTAAAATATTATTGTTCACTAAAAATTTAAATTATAAATATATATATATATATATATATATATATATATATATATTCTAATTAGGTTGAATATTGGAAAATAGACAATTAACATAGGATTACTTAATATTTATTATGGTAATCTTGTTGCACAAATAAAAAAAATTGTGATATCTCACTTAAATATAAAAACTGAATTTAAATATTTAACACTTCAAATTTCTATAAATTTATAATTAAGATTCTTCTTACGATATCTTATATATTCATCCTCAAAACCTTTTTAATTTTATTAGGACAATAAAATTGTTTGTACTTATAAGTCATGCCTTTTTAATTATATTAGGACAATAAAATCGTTTGTAGTTATAATTCATTATAACATGATGTATCAAATATGTGAATAATTGTTTTATAAAAAAAAGTTAAAAAAATTATAAAATTACTTATGATTTATTCAAAAGAGATTTTAGTTTATACTTTACTTAAATAAAATATTTACAATATATCTTGTTAAGTTGAATATATGAAAATTATAGGATAAGATGTATTAAAATTTATTTTTCTTTTATATTTTTATATTACATAAATAAGTTATAATTTAATTATATATATATATATATATATATATATATATATATATTTTAAATAATTTATCATCAAATTAATACTTAATACCGTATTAACTTAAAAGATACGTATCTCTTTCCTAGTGTAATTGCTTTATTTCATACTACAGAAATTTAAAACTTGAACTACGTATGCGATTATTACTTGAGTCAACCAACGTTACAAACTCAAAAATCAACTTTTGAGTTCAAAATGTAATACTGTGTACTGGCATTAATCTCATTCATTAATAAAACAATAAAATATAAATTTTTGTATCAATACCAATAAACATAATGATAGATTTAAGTGAACCCTTCTTCAGTTTTTATTTTTAAACTGTACATAATTACAAAAAATAGAAAAAAAAATCATAAAATAAATTGTTATCACAAATAGAATTTATCTAAGTGATTAAATGGAAAATTATAACAGTTATCACCTGCAAAACTCTGCAACCTTTCGTTTAACTGATACTATGACTTTCCCGAAAAGATAAACATATTGCAGTATTTTAACAACACTAACTACATTCAAATCAATTAGTGAAAAATAGAGAAAAATAATGCATGTATATTCAAAAGAACAATTGTAAAAGAACCTTCTACCCAGTTGTAAATTCTGAATGCTTTTGGAAATTAAATATGAAAAATAATTTATATTATAAAAATTTATATAATAAATATGGGTAGACCCGTGGGATGATTCCACAAGCTTTTTTTTAGTGTTTGTAATATTATTTTTATATAAAATTCCAACGATTACATATAAATACTGTAATATCATTAAAAAAATTAATATGATCTTGATATCTCATAACAATATCCATAATAAAACAAAAAAAATCTGAAGCCAATTACTACACGTTGATTCTAAAAGCAGAATACATAACTGGCACAACCTATTTACTTAAATGGATGGTTACAAATTAAAAAAAAATTGTAATAACTTTAACACTTTATCTTCAATTTCGAAATTTAAATTTAAAATTTACAATTTTACATTTTGGTGTAATTAAATCTCAACTTAACGTTAGGAGAAAAAATATTGTTCAAATGTATTACTCCCCTTCATGATCATTTTTAGAAATTTACTAAATTTATGTTTTTTTTTCAATATAAATTTGATTTTGTGTTTTCCCATTTAAGATAATAAAACTAGTGAAATGGAACAAATTATCACAAACAAATTAGTTTATCACAAACAATATTAGTAACGATATATTCGGTTGTGATTGAATAAAAAATAAACTTAAATACAAAAATAAGAAAATAATCAAAATTATGGATAAAATTTAAAAAATAAAAATATTAAAATCATGACAATGGATTAAAAAAAATGCTATAATAAATATAAACGAATTCAAATCTCAAATTTCAATAAAAATTATTAAATGATGAGGGTAGGAATAAAAAGATAAATTACATCAAAGAGCAACAACACTAATCATCAATGCCACTACCAACCCAAAGTAAAACTCAAACCCAAACCTCTCACTCACACCACTCTTCTCTCCACTCGCGGCGGCAGGTGCGGTGGCGTTTCCATTCCCGCTACTGTTTCCGCTCCCACTCGTGGCGGCGGGTCCCAGAGCCACGGGCAGCGCCGCCTTGGACTGCAGATTATCAGGGGTGGACCCGTGGATCGACAGCTTCCCTCCTTGGGTGGGTCCCACCTGCCACACGTGGCTCACGTTGTCCGCCTTCTCGGGGATACTGACGACGGCGAAGATCAGTACGGCACCGCCAGACTCTTCCGTGGCCACGCCCCACGACTCAAAGGAAAAGGCTTCGACTTTGTCGATGCTCTTGTAGGCGGTGAGGTTGTAGCGGTGCACGGTGCTGCCGCCGGCCGAGGCGGGGATCGCGATGAAAGCTTGGGTGCCGATCATGCCGCCACCGGCGAGGTTGAGCCCCCAGGCAACCCACCCGGAGGAAGTCGGCGGCGCGGCGGCAAACGCGACGGCGAGACTGCGGTTGGTGGTGTTGTAGGTGTAGTGGAGGACGGCGCCGAGGGTGGGGAGGTTGGTGCAGTTGGCGTAGGTTCGGTTCGCCGGCAGCTTTAAGGAGGAACAAGTGAGAGCAGAGTGAGAAGAAGTAAAGAAAAGAGAGAGAGAAAGTAAGAAAGAAACAGTAACTATGGCTGTCAATGGTAAATGAAATGCCATTGATGAATTATTGAGAAAAAGAAGAGAAAGAGAGAGAAAGAAGAAACAAAGGAATGTGATAGTGTTGGATTTTGATGAACACGAAAGAGGGATATATAATGGAATTTGAAAGCGTGTGGATAGCACAACGTGAGATGTGAAGAGAATGATAAAGGGATACGATTTATTGTCTTTGTTGAAATTAAATATATTGGGCATGTCATTAATGTTTGGACTTTTATTTCATTTTTTATATTATTATTATTATCAAATTTTTATTTAAATATAAATTTTTTATTGATTTTTAAATGTATAGTAGTTTTTATCATTATAAAATTCTTAAATTATTTCTTATTTTCTTAAAAAAGTTCTTTAAAAGAATAGGGTGTCAGTGTTTATAAATATTTAAATAGGGAAATTTGAATAGAAAATTGTTATTAATGTGTTTGCATGTGACAGTGTGGGAAGTAATACAATAGTTATGGAAAAGCACGTTCAGGAATCTTACAAAGTGATATCTTATTATTTAAGTATCAATTTGACTAATTTTAAAATTTTGGTGTGACTAATTTAATATTGCCCTTCAAATTCAATGCATCTTTTCACTTTTCTATTTCTCATGTTCAGACGCATTTATTGGGTTTTAATATGATTTTTTTTCTGATTTTGACTTCCCTATTCATTAATTAAATAATTAAATTTATGATTTACATACGTTTATAATATCAGTAAAATAATTAAATTTTGATTTTGATTTTGTAAAAAAATAATTTTGTTTTTGTAAATCTTAGTTATCGTAGAGAATTTTCATATTGTTTTGAAATAAGTATTTAGACTATTTTTATTTTTTATTAGGCATAAATCAATTAGATAGAAAATCTAAAGTTTAATTTACTAACTAATAAAATTAAATTGAAAAATAACTTTTGTTTTACAAATCTATAATTTTATTAACTGTATAATTATTTTACTTTTTCATTCAATACATAAATGATTAACTAGTTTCACATAATATTATTATATAATTATGTTTTTTAAAAGGAAAAAAAAACAAATAATCTTCTAATGTTATATTTTTGGATTTATCTTTATCCCTTCTTTTTTTATTTTCACAGTTAAAAGGTAATTATACTATTTATTTTTTAAAAGTAAATATATTTTATAAACTATTTTGAAACTTTACATAAAAATATAATAGCATTTTTAACGGAAGAATCTTAAATTTAAAATTTAAAATTATAAGAAACTCGTATAAAAGAAATACAGCAAGGGTCTTAAACAAACAAATATAAAATCAATATTTAGTTATAATAATTAAATTATTTTTTAAATTTAGAAAAAACTTAAATGCTAATAAAAAAATTAAAATATGAATCTTTCAACACTTCACACTATTAGAGTAAAACTAACAAGAATTTCTTAAATTGTAAATAATCTAAGAGAATTATAAAAAACTTGTTCCTTTATGTTAAGAAACCTCGTATCTATAAGGAGTCAAAGAAGATGGTGATTTATAACTACCCTTCAACTCTTCAATGATTTTTTATACTTTAAAAATTATATATTGTTATAATTTTTTACACAATTTTATATGTTTATTTTAGTATTATATGAGGCCAGGGGGTGCGAAAGTAGAATTTGTTGGGTAGACGTGGCGTGAAACGATTGGTTAGATTAAGTGAAGTTTTTTCTTTTAAAAGGTGAAGCAAGTGTTTGACCGAGGAATTTGATCAGAAGGTTCATTGGGGAAGGTCACAAGCACGATAAATTTGGAGAACGATTTATTGGAATTATTTAAAATTTAAAAATACATTTTCGTACGAGCACGTGGCGATGAGGAATATCTCACGAGAGCACTGATAAGATCACGGACCATATTGATTCGGCTATTTCAACCATTTTGACTCAGTGCTAACTTTTATTATTATAAGTGAATTTGCGATTTTTTTTTCTTTTACAAAAATTATTTTAATATATATTTTTTAATATACTTATTAATCTCACCTCATTTATAAATTGAAATTAAAAATAATTTATATATATACTATTTTTAAAATGTCTTGACTAGAATTATAAGTGAAAATTGAATTATGAATAATATAATAATAATAAGCATACATCACTTTCAATAGAAAAATTCCTTTGAATATTTCTACAACAATGAAAGTGCGATTCTCTTTTTTTCAAACCCTTTTTCTGTGTGGACAAGTCACAAGCCGTGCGAATTCCCCTCGCCTTGTTTAATTTAACACTGTCGGACCAGTGCAACTTTATTTCTTCTTCTTTTTTATCTTGTTCACACCTTTTTAAGACTATAAAATTTGAAATACCGAAAATATTGGAGTTAAAAGTTGTTTTATTCCTTATGCTTTTACAGTAAATTTTATTTTATTTTATAAAAAAATTATTTTTACAAGTCAATTCAAACACTTAGTCTTTTCATATCATATTTTTGAGAATTGAGGTCGACGCGCCCTCTCCTGTGGGTTGGATAAAAAACTGAACTTAAACATGTAACATTTTTACATCAAAGTCTAACGTTTGTGAACTATGTATATTTGTTGGGCCCATATTTTAATTTGACTTGACACAACTAACAATACATCATCTTGGGAAGAAATCAAAATAAATTCTTATTATGATATACAAAATAATTATATTGTAGTTCATAATTTATCTTAACATAATCATTATGTTAGCCACTAGTTATTTATAATGATGATGAAATCACGTATTAATAATAAAATATAAAAAACACTTCTCACAAAAAAATAAGAAAAATACAAGCTTTTTTAAGTCATACATGATTTGGCCAACCCCATTAAAAGTGCCAAACCAAGACAAAAAAACCAAGAACTAAATCCTATATATAGCTCTTGCTCAAGCAAACTTTCATCTCTGGAATCAATTCCATAATTCAAACTAAGCATATCATAGGTGCAATGTTCTTTATCCTTTGTCATCCTCATTCATTCTTGTAGTGGAATAAACATTTTAAAGATTTTTTCATCATCATTATTTATTTTTCTTAATCTAATGAATAAGATCAATTAGCATGTTGGATCTTTAGATTATAAAAAATGACAAAGATAAAAAATAAATCTCTAATTTTTATAATATATGAATTTCTTAATATATATATATATATATATATATATATATATAATATTAAAATTGAAATTAATGAAGTAGGTTTTTGGATTAGAGCCTTGGAAATATGAGGATTTGGAATCACTTCTAATAATGTCTAATGCATTTTCATTAACATAATATATAATTTAATTAAAACAAAAATAAAATAGTGTAATTATAAAATTACTTTATATATTTAAACTCTAGAAGATTGACTTGATGAAGCTCCATAAAAGTTGACTTAAATGCATCTTTTGTTGATCAAAATATATTGTTTAGAGATGATGGTTCTCCACTTCGTTATGGTTGAGATGCTATGGATTAGGGTTATAGTGTCTAATACATGCATACTTAACATTGTCAACACTAGTATTTAAAAAAAAAAAAGGTCAAAGGCTTATAAAGGGTAACGTTGACCTATATGAGAATAGTAGTAGTTGTGTAGAAGGTTCTATTAACTAATATAATAACTCTAATTAAATTATTAGTATACTTTAAATTGAAATATTAATTAATATAATTTAAGATGCTAATTTTATTATTTGTAGTTACAAATAGAAATAATAATTTATATAATTAAGCTAACACAAATATTAGTTCAACTTATACTAGACCTAAAAATTATAGTAAGATATATAAATCATTTGACATTCATACATAATAAAGAAAATGTTATGATGACTAGAATTACATAAAAGCTTGAATCCTATAAAAATCAATATTTTTAATGGATACTGATAAATAATAATATGGGATATTCATATTTTAATAATTTTGATATTTATATTTACTAATATTTGTATAATACTATTTATTTACATTATATTTTAAGAGAGTTTTTTTATCTGATATCACATTTAAAAAACAAATTAAAATATTTGCTGGGCAAAATAAACCCATAGTTTTTTAAGAAGGTGTATGGTGAATGTTGGGCATGGCAACGGGTCGGGCCGGGGGCGGGTTTTGTCTCCCGTTCCCGCCCCGACTTTTTAACCATCCCCGTCCCGCTCCCGATCCCCGTCGGGTTAGGAATTAAGTCCCCATCCCCGTCCCCGCTGGGTTTCGGTTCCCGCCCCACCCCGTCCCCGATTTATATTATTTTTAAAAAGATAATTATATTTATAATAAATTAATTTTACTTGTGTATTTTTTTATATAAATAAATATTTATAATTTATAGTTATTATTAATTAAATATACATTTTAATTTATTATATTTATATTAAAATATATATGTAAAAGAAATATTTAATTATTTTTTATTTATATATATATATCTAATATTTATAACATTATTATTATTATTATTATTATTATTATAACACTGTATTCAAATATTTGAATATTTATAACATTATTATTATAATATCTGTATTCAAATATTTAATTATACATATACGTTAATTCATTTTCAAGTTGTCAATATATAGTTTATAAGAAAATATTTAATAAGTTAATTCTTATTTAATTAGTTTGAAGTAATAAAAGTTTAAATTATTAATTTCTTTTAATCCTTTAAAATGCAATTATTTTATTAAGATAAAATTTGATATATGATAAATAAGCATAATAAGATAAAAAAATATGACATAATAAATATAAATTATAAATAAACTAATATTAGTTACTACTAAGATTGATGTAAAATATTTAGAAAAAGATAAAGAAAAAAGATTAACTTTGTGTTCATCAAATTGGTTGAAAAGATTGAAAAAGAAAACAAATTGATGGGAGAGACTAAGAAAATGTGAAAAACTGAAAGATAAGGGAGAGAATAATATAATAAATTAATTGATATAAAAGATTGAAAAAGATAAAAAAAATTAAAAAGTGGGTAGAAGAAAAATAAAAATTGGTGAAATATAAAAAAATAACCTTATATGTAATAG